GGGCGGCAGCCGCAGCGTCTCAGTGGCCCCCAGCTCCACCGATCGAGGGGACCATCCAGCCGACGATGCCCCAGGCGCTGTATGCCCTAGCCCAGGCGGGTGTCGAGCACCGCGGCCAGCCACCTCTGCCATCAGGACCGCCTCCAGCGGCCGCGGCAGCGGAGGGGATGGCGGCCGCCACGGCAGCCGGAGGAGGAGCGACGGCGCCGACGCCAGGGGTGCTATTCGGGCCAGCGGCGGGGAAGCCACCCCCCAAGGCAGCGCCCCACTGCAGTCACCCAGCCTCGGCGATCAAGTACTACGGGAACCAGCACGGCTCGGGATCGAGGTGCACTCTCTGCGGAGCGCGCATCGCATGGATTCCCGGAGGCCGCGCTGGTCCAGGAGGCGCACCGGCAGTGCCGACAGCGGCCGAGGCCGCGCGGGCAGCGGCGTCATCCGCTCAGAGGGCGGTGGACCTCCTGACCAGCGACCCGCAGTTCAAGGCGGGAGGCGCGGCGCTGACGACGGTGAATCAGCTGTACGGTTTGCTCCAGGGTCTCCAGTGGCAGCTTCAAGCGATTCCAGAAGGAGTTCGTGCGCTGGGTCAGGTGCAGTCGGTGGTGGACCAGATGATCCAGGTCGCGACGCAGACCCAGCAGTTTCCTACGCAGATGGAGGAGGGGCTCCAGCAGATATTCCAGGGCATCACCGCCATCAAGACGCAGCTCACCGGGATGGCGGACTTCGCGATAGCCATCGACACGCTCCAGGAGTCGGTCAACGCCATCGCGGGCACGCTCTCCGGGATGGAGACAGCGATCGGCCAGATCGGATTCATGCTCGTGAACGTGGGCACGGCGGTGGCGGCCATAGCGCACGTGGCCAACGGGGGGCAGCAGATCGAGGACCAGTGGCACGTTCCTCAGCAGGCAGCTGCGGCAGCGGTGGCAGCAGCTCCCTTTCACCAGGCCCCGACAGCGGCCATCGGCGCGGCCGGCTCGGCAGCGGCATCCTCGTCCGGGGCAGCCAGCCCTCCTCCGCCGTCCTACCCGCCGCCGATCGACGACCAGGCGACAGCGGCAGGCGGGGACCCCTGGACGGTCACCGATCCGTACGGGACGAGGACTACCACAGCACCGACCGTGTCGGGAGCAACGACGGCGACTACGACGCGTCCTCCGTTGCCGACGATCCCAGAGGCGAGCCTCGACTCGTGGCCGCCGATCGACGACCAGGCGACAGCGGCAGGCGGGGACCCCTGGACGGTCACCGATCCGTACGGGACGAGGACTACCACAGCACCGACCGTGTCGGGAGCAACGACGGCGACTACGACGCGTCCTCCGTTGCCGACGATCCCAGAGGCGAGCCTCGACTCGTGGGAGGTGCTCGGGAACGATCCCGGGCCAATGATCTAGCGGGTTCATACGTGATTCTGGCTGCTGCCACTCAGTGTGGCCGAGCTGCCTCTGGCGGCTGCAGTTGTGCAGCGCAAAAAGCATCATCATTATCTTCAGCATCCCCCCAAGTCAGGGATGGTCGCTCGATTCCGAGGAATCGAGTGGCAGGACGGGGACAACTTTAACGATGACCACGAGGTCACGCTGCCCAAGCAAGTTCGGCGAGCCCTAGAACTCAGGGCCAGGCCGGACGGGTCCCAGGAGGGCCCAACTACGGAGCTGTTTGTTTCAAAGAACCGAGGAATCAGCTTCATGGAAGTGTTCTCGCCTCCTAGGATCGCGCCCAGAGTGCAGCGCCGTGGGGGAACTCTGGGGGTCAAGCCTAGTTGGGATCTGAGGACCGGATGGGATTCTAGGAGAGCGAACGACCAGTTAGATCTCTGGGCGGCCATAGAGAAAGAGAAGCCAGACATGATCTGGCTGTGCCCGCCCTGCAAGGTTTTCTCGGCCATTAGTCGCATCAGCAGAGCCGTCCGAGACCCGTCTAAATGGAAGCAGGCCGTAACTGACGGGGTCAACGATTTAATCCTTTGCATGCGCATAGCCCTGTACCAATTGGAGCGAGGGCGGTACTTCGCGTTTGAACACCCTCTGTTTGCGAGTTCCTGGGCGACTAAGGTAGTACAGTTGGTCGCTCAGCTTCCTGGCGTTCGCCGGGTTCGGATCGACATGTGTATGTTCGGGCTCCGAGTCACTAAGGATGGCCTCAACAAGAAGCCCACCGGGTTGCTCACCAACCACCCTAGGCTCTCAGAGATCATGGACGGTAGGCTGTGTTCCGGAGACCACCAGCATGTGCTCCTAGAGGGGAGTAGCAGGACTTCCCGGGCCCAGGAGTATCCACCTGCGTTTGCTGAAGCCGTGGCTCGTGCCGTCACCGAGCAGTGGAGCGGCGTCAGCAGGTCAAGGTCACCCACGTGGGCCGAGCTTAGCGAGAGCCACTTTCCAGAAGACGCGGAGCCCTCCCTCGAAGATCCGGAGGGTCCCGGGGAAGCAAGCGGAAGCGAGGCGGAAGAACACGAGACGCGGGGCCCAGGAGCCTCCGGACCGAAGGAACCCCCTCCCGAGCCGACAGAAGAAGAAAAGCGTTTGCTGTTCCGTTTACACGTGAACATGGGTCACCCATGCAACCGAAAGTTCGTGCGGGTCCTCAGGGCCGGAGGCGTGAAGATACACCTGCTTCGCTGGATCAGAGACGTGTTCAAGTGCTCGGAGTGTGCCGAGCGAGCTCGCACCAGCAGCCACCGCAGGGTGGCACTTCCCAGGACGTTCAGGTTCAACCACATAGTGGGTGTCGATCTTTTCTTCGTTCCCTTCCAGGAGAGGACCCTGGCGTTTTTGAATGTCGTGGACCACGGATCCAACCTGCAGGTCTGTGTGCGGGTGGAGGAGCCCACAGCGGCTCAGGTTTGGGGGGCTTTCGTGAAAGCGTGGATCCGTCCTTTCGGGGCTCCTCATTTTGTTTTGTCGGATGGGGGCTCTGAGTTCGAGGGTCGGTTCGCCCGAGGACTCGAGCAGTGGGGAGTTCTCCACCACGTGTGTGACGCGAACTCCCCATGGCAGAACGGACGTGTCGAGAGACACGGAGGCTGGATCAAAGACAGGATCAAGGGAGAGGTGGAGTCCGGTTCTGCTATTCCCGGGGACGTAGGGGAGCTCGAGGAGCTTGTCTACGAGCTGTGTGCTCATAAAAACCGTTTCTGGCACCGGGGCGGGTTTTCTCCGGTCCAGCTTGTTTTTGGCGAGAACCCCCGGATGCCACACGAAATACTGTCGGACGATCACATGGGCCTTCCAGGCTGGCAGGACTCCATACGACCGGCCTCGGAGCTCGACTCCGCGGGCGCGGAGTTTGCCCGGTCGCAGCGTGTTAGGGAGTTAGCGCGTCGCCTGGCTTTAGAGATCACCGCCCGGGACAAGGTTGCCAAGGCCACCAAGGCGAGGGGACCCAGCCAGGACCAGGCGATGTTCCGTCCAGGCCAGTGGGTTTTCGTCTGGCGACGCCTGACCAAAGCGGGTCCTAGGGCCGACACCCTGGGTCGCAGGCGGGACGCGTGGACGGGTCCCGGGGTCGTGGTCCTGTGCGAGCGCGGCACCGTCTGGGTCGCGGTGCGGGCGCGTCTCTGGAAGTGCTCTCCAGAACAGGTTCGTCTGGCCAGTGCCGAGGAAGAGTACGGCATCCAGGTTGCCCAGGATCCCCGGTGGTCCGAGCTTCTCTCCCAAGCTCAGGCCAGGAGAGCGACGGCGGTGGACGTCCAGCGAGAAGGTCCCCCCCCCGATGAAGCGTGGGACCAGCCGCTGTCTCCAGAGGTGGACTCGGCGCCTCAGGTGCCCCCGGGACCCGAGCCAGAACCACGGCCGGACGTGCCTCGAGAAATCCCGAGCGCGAGACCTCCAGGGCCTGCTCTGGTTCACCGTGGGTTCGATCCGATCGGGCCCAGGCCTCCGAGGGGAGTCGGGTCCCGGCCATCGTCGGCCGGGAGCTCTGCGGTCGCCCGGGCCGGATCCGAGCGAACTCGACTCCCGTCCATCTCCGAGGGAGACGGTCAGGGAGAGGGCGGGCCACCCACGAGGCAAGACACTCCAGAGGACGAGGACACCCTCGACCCTGCTCTCCCTATCCCTTCCTCTCCTCCTCTTCCTCTCCTTCCTCCTGACCCTGTGCCCGCTCCCACCGTCAACGAGGATGCCTCTGGTGGAGCCAGCAGGCCAGGGAGGTCTAGACTGCCTCAGCCCAGCGACGTGCCAGTCTGTATTCGCCAGCGTCAGGCTGAGACTCGAGCGGCGAGCTGTCCTCCCGAAGTTGTCGAAGTCAAGCGTGCCAGGATAGAGCCACCTCCGGGACTGGGTCTCTCCAGCAGCTCACCTCAAGGGAGCGAAGGGCCGAGTGCCAGTGCTGCTGCTGCCGACGCCGAGGAAAGAGACGAGGACGGGGGGCCAGGCTTTGTGGGGCGTAGGGTTCAGGAAATCGAGTCGAGGGTCCGACCGGAAGGCTGGGTGTCATTCGCGGTCGAAACCACGGAGGCGGGCGTTCTCTTGGTTGAGGAAAGGCACGGAGCCGATCTCGAGGTCCTGGCGGCCAGCCGCGGAGGAGAGGTTAGCCTCAACAGACTGACGCCTGCCGAGCGCAGCAAGTTTGAAGTGTCAGACGACACCGAGTGGCAAAATATGGCCAACTCGGGTGCTGTGGAGATCATCGCGCCTAGGGAGGCGGGGGTGATTAGGCGAGAGCGACCGGACCGCATCATCACGAGTCGGATGGTTCGACGGTGGAAACCTGTTGAGGGCACGTTTTCCGAACCAATCGCCAAGTCTCGGTGGTGCGTCCACGGACACAAGGATCCGGATACCGGGTCGCTGTTCGTCTACTCTCCCACCCCCCAGACTTCTTCCATACTTATGTTCATCCAGGTGATGATGAATCTAGGCCACCTAGGGGATATTGCGGATGTAAAGAATGCTTTCTGCCAATCAGATCCTATGAGCCGTGCTCAGGGAGAGATCTACTTGGAACCATGCGAGGGCATCAAGGTTGAAAAGGGGTCCCTCATCAGATTGCTGGTGAACGTCTACGGGTTGGACGATGCTCCCTTGGCCTGGCGCAAAACGATAGTAGGGTATCTTAGGACCAAGGGATTCACGAGGAGTCTTCTAGAGCCCTGCTGGTGGATCAGGTATGCGTCAGACGGGACCATTCTCAACATGATCCTACTTGAAGTCGACGACTTCTTTATCGCCAGCAATTCAGAGACGTCCCGAGCCTGGATCCGGGAGACCTTGGTCTCTAGGTTCAAGTTCGGGAAGTACAGGGACTGTCACCGAGGTCCTGTCGAGTACGCCGGCCGCAGCGTGAGTTTCGGGCCCCAGAAGACGACGATCGACCAGGAAAAGTATATACTGGAGGAGGTGAGGACGATTAACCTCGAACGGGGTCGACTGGGTCAAAAGTCCTCTCCCCTTTCCCAACCCGAGTTCAAAGCTCTCCGTTCCCTGATTTATAAGTTGAACTGGGTCGGTCGTGAGTCTCGTCCCGAGGCGGCCGGCACCGCGAGTATCCTTGCCAGTAGGTTGAAGGACGCCACCACGGGGGACGTTGCCATCGCGAACAAGATGGTAAGGCATCTCCGTGCCACGGCCTCGAGAGGCCTCATCATTTGGCGTTTGGACCCGGAACGGATGGCGTTCGTTTCTTTCTCCGATGCGGGGGGTGTAGGAGCCAACGAAGGACTTCTGGACCACCAGGGGCTCCCCGCCGACCCAACTCAGGGGGCTTGGATGGTCTTAGCGACCGACAAGAGCGTGATAGATAACTGTGCTGTTCGCGCGTCCACCCTGGGATGGCGAAGTTCCAAGCTTAGAAGAAAAGTCACGTCCACTCTGGCCGGCGAGACTCAGGCTCTTTCGGCGGCAG